CTGAGATTGGGATTGAAGATGCCCAGAAGGTTCTTAAGAAGATGGGTTACGAAGGCAACTTTCCTCCCACTGTGAAAAAGCTTCTGCTACCGCACTGGAGATTCTTGGCTCATGTATTTGTGAGCAGCATTTCAGGCAGAAGGTCTGGAGCTGATGAAATCTCGCTAAGGAACACTGGAGCCTTTGCTTCTCTTGCTGCCGGAATAGATTTCAATTTCTCAAAGTTTATCTTAGACGAGTTCGTGGTGAACATCAACGCAATAACCCGAGATACTTTCTTGATGTATCCTAGGTTCATCCAACTGTTCATCAATATTTAATTTTCGGAGATGGTCAATGAGAGAGATACCATAGATATGAAGTCATTAGGTCCCCATACTGTTGGGCTTATTAAGCAGAATCGCAAGGGAAAGGTCGTTTTCCAAGGACTGTATCCGCTTGTGAAGTTTGGAAAATTTGCTGAGCTAAACAAAGCATCCGAGTCTCATGGATTTTCAGATAAAGTATCCTCTGAGCCTACTTCTTCAGAGAGGGTGATTTCAGAAGATCATGTTATCACCGTGTCAGATCAAGAAGAAAGAAAAGAGACAGAAGCTCCAAATGCTAGTGTGGCAGAGGAACATGATCTGACATCAGTTCCAGTTCAAAGTGATTATAATGAAGGGTCTTCAAAGAGTGGGACTGAGACTGATTTATATGAAGACCTTGATCTTTCTGGCTTCGATAAAGATGAAATTCCGTTGAATTTTGGAAGTAATGAAGATTTCTTGTCAAATGAAAATCTCAACTCGCTTCTTGACAATATCAATGATGTTGCTCATCCAGCAACAGAGATACTGGAAACTGAAGACGTTTTTGAATCTACGCCTCCTACTACCAAACAAGTGGCTGAAACAGCAACTCCTATGGTGACAGTGTCAGGGATTCCTCCCCTTGATATTGTTTCTCCTACATCTGAGCCACTTGAGAGTGATCGCACAACAACACAGACCTCTCAACCTCCTCTGAAAAGAAGAAGACGTGACCCTAGACAGGGAATTCCTGTTTCTGGTGTACTTCAAGGCCTTTCAACACCACCGATAACCACTCCTGCCATTGTCTCATCAGAACCTTTCAGTGAAGGTCCTAGCACCACTTATGAAGCTGGTGGTTCTTCTATCCCCGCAGGATTTTCTCCTCCCAGGCCCGATCATGATGCTGCTTCAGTGAGGTTGGCCATGCATTTGGATGAAGAACAATTCTCAACGCCTCCCTCCCGTGGTAAAGGAATATCTTTTGGGGAAGGCAACTCTGGAGAAGAGAATCCTACTATTCTTGGACTACAGAAGGAGATCAACGTACTAAATCAGAAGAATATAGAGCTTGATATCCGGGTTACTGACCTTCAAACTGAAAACACCAAGCTCACCATTCAAGTTGCTGATCTTCTAGAAGACAAAGCTCTGAAGACTAAGCAAATCACTGATCTTCAGACTCACTTTGGTCTGTTGACTGCCAGTTACTATCACTTAAAGAAGAAGCTGGAAGAAGAACTTGGTGACAAATTTAAGACGTCTGTCGATGAGCCAAGGATCTATATTCCTAGTCAAGCTGCTCCCATAGTTCCACCACCTGTAAGGACAACTCGTGTTGTAGATCGATTTGAGGAGGAGCCAGTTCAAGCTCCGAATGTTGTGGCTTTAAAACGTGCCAAACTGGCCGAATCTACTAAGAAAGGTCAATTTTTGTTTAAAAGGAGCTCGGATCAAAATGCTCCTGGGGATCAGCCCAACATCACTTTTACAGATCTTGGAGAGAATCGCTTTAAAAATGTATATGGTGATAGGTCAGGGATCATCTGATGGGGATTTCACGACACTTTAAATATGTGGATCATGAGACGGAAGACTGGCAACACAGAACTGTATAAAGATGCTCATGACTTCCACTCCTGGACCAGGGTTGATCTTTCAGAGTTATCAAAGGCTCCTTTTGCAAATCCATCTCAAAATCCCAAGGCTACACAGTTCAAGCATTTCTTGGAAGATCAAGTGCTTAAGGGTTTTCCCTCAATGAAGACTGCAGAGTCGATTATTAAAGTATACCCAAGTGTAATTGATCCCAAAACCAATCAACCTCTTCGATCTGTGATGTGGCTTGCTACCAATCAAGTTAAGTAGATTCCTATTCTTCAGAATCATCCAAATGGATCTCTATGGTCCATGCTGTACTGGGTGTTTGATGAAACTACAGCCTCTGCTGTCATAAAGCTTGAAAAAGGATGCATTCGCTTATATGACAATAGAGACTTGCTTCAGTTTGGGAAATGGGATATACATCAGCTGAACCATCATCAGATCAAAGTTGCAGAAGACATCTTTGAGCCAGCTGCCAAAGAATATACATCTATGATTGCGGATATCATTAACAAACGGATATGGAACGGAGCAATAGGGAAGTCAGATGTGATGGTGGTCGACAAAGATTGAGTTCAAGCTAGAACCAAACCAAGGGGGAGATTGAAGGGTCCAGTTAGTGGTTTGGTCTAGGCTTTCATTGTAATAGTTCTTTTGAGTCTTTATTGTGGTTTGGTAGGTTGTTAGTGGGTTTACGGCCCTGTAGTGAGTTTACGGCCGTAAACCCCTTTACGGCCGTAAACCCAGTTTCCGGCCCAAGTTCCCTATATATAGAGGTGTTGTAGGTCATTATTGGTTGTTGATGCCATAGCGTTCACGACTAAGTATATCGAGTTGTACCAGACGTTTTTCAGTAATAAACGTGTGCAAGCTTGATTTCTTTTCTTCTTCTACTCATACTCTAGTTTCTTTTGATTGTTTGATTGCTTGATCATTGGTAAAGATCCGATTTAGGACCTTACACCTCTGCGTGATCGGAAGATCCAACCTGGGATACAACATATGCACTCTACTATCTATCTAATCCTCTATTTATGTTAGTCATATGTTGTTCCCTCTGCGTGATTGGAAGACATCCGACCTGGGATACAACATATGCATTTCTAGATCTGAATTTTCTCTAAATGATTGAATACTCACCTAAAGTAAGGAGTTCTTTGGAAGTTCTTGATTACCGGGGTATGTAGGTAAGTGGGAAACACGTTCTAGTGCATCTAAAATTGAACCATTTAATAGGTTGTCTGTAGATCTCGCTGCTAAATTTAAGTGGACAACATATCCTTGGTCGTCGTCAGCCAAATGGTCCATTTAGGAATATAGATCACAATGTCTTGTCATTTATTTTCTGTCCAATTTGTCAATATCCTTTGCGTTTAAGTGGACCACAATACCGGTGATTGACCAGATCTAGACATTCAGGTGTGTACTGATAAACGATATTGAATTGCCTGACAACATTGATCCCAAAATAGTCTTAAATTTAGCTATTATTTTTGTTTTGGTTAAATTTGTTCATAGTTTTCCTCTATGCACAAATTTCGGGGGAGAATTAAAATTTAAAAAAAAACAAACAAAAATTAGAAAACCAAAAATCCAAAAATAGTGTTATTTCTGTTATATTTTTTTTCAGAAAATTAAAAAATCCAAAAATATTTTTGTTTCTGTTTTACTTTTTTCAAAAAATATGAAAAATCCAAAAATATTGTGTGTTAAGTTTTCTTTTACTTTTGTTTTTATCTCAAATTTTCTTTGTCTTGAAAAGTGAATTCAGATGCAGATGAGACTCAAGGAGACTGTATCGAGATTTTCTGAGCCGAAGCTTCATCCGTGATTGTCGAAGAATATTCATTCGAAGGAACAAGAAATGAAGATTATTCTTTCAACATTCAATTTTTTTAAACCCCAGAAGCAAGGTGAAGTTGTACTTGAAGATTATGTGACAGATTGCATTGAATCCTCCTCAATAAATTTGCTGCTATCTATGTACCTACTGAAGTGATCCAGAAGATTCGTTCTCTGTTATTCTCTCTGAAGATTCTCAATCTGAAATAGCCAATTTTCAAGAATCTCTACAAGAAGCCTCCACACCCAACGTGCGTTCAATGTCAAATTTTGAAGAGAAGCCCAAATGTTCAAGATGAAGTCACTCACGTAGAAGATTCATTTGTTCATCTTGAAGTTGTGAAGAAATTGAAGATTAAAGCAAGAATCCAAGCTCACAGAGTGAAGACTGAGAAGAAATGCAAGCCATAATCCTAGGGGGAGTTTGTTGGGTCAAAAAGAAAAGAAAGCTATAAACCAAGGGGGAGATTGTTGGGTCTAAAATATGGTTTATACTTTACTTTTCTAGGCAATTGTAGTTTTCGGTCTAGGACCGAAAACAACCTTGGGTTTACGGTTGGGTGGCGTTTACGGTTGTAAACGTGTTTACGGCTACTGGTCCCTATAAATAGTGTTAGTAGATGTCAGATGGAAAAGGAGTTTACGGTCAAGTGTGTGTGTAAATCAAGGTGTTCTAGAGAGAGAAAGTAGAGAGAAGAAGAGTGTGTGTGTGAGGATCTTATGTGTATATAACATCATTCATATTATTGAATACACCATAGATTCATCAAGTTCTTCTTCTTCTTCTCCATTCTATCTTGCATCATCCGCTTGATTGGGATTCCGCAACATCAAGTGGATCAGATTGATACTCAAGCTAAATTTTGGGACTTACAAACAATAACATATTTTTTTAACTGATTAAAAAATATATATATATATATTATAATATGTATTGAATATTAAATAACCAAATGTTTTAACTACATAAATTATTTCTGAAAAAACAAAAGTTAGAAAGATTGATAGAAATTTCATAATTTTGTTTACCTCAATCAGTTCGAAAATATCAGCAATTCTTTTTAGCTCACGATTAAGCACAAAATCATCCTTTTCAGAACTTCGATTAGATTTCATATAGGAGAAAGTACTGGATGAGTTTTCATGGGGACCATCTTGATTCAAACTGTTAACTAACATCATAGTTGCATTGTTTATAACATACATTGCGATTTATTATTAACAAAAAAAACATAATGTAATATAACTTTTTTTTGAAAACTTTTATCTCATCAATGTCAGTATTGATGATGAACTTTGATACATCATAATATGTATTAACATATCGGCGATCTATAAAAAAAACATAAAAAAATAAGTAAATAATCATTGCGATATAAAACAAAATTAAAAAAACATTATACCTTGCCAAACACAAATCTTTTCAAATTGAAGGATTTGACGATGCGGTGAATGTTTGGATTCTGTTGAATGTAATCCGAGAATATGTAACAAGAATCTCCCCATAGGTTAACATCCAATTGAGAACCACTAACAAAAAAGATGGGAATTACAAATTACAAGTAATAATTTTTTTTGATATTGCAATCAAAATAGTTAATATACACAATAATTATTTTATAGGTAATAAAAACAAACTTGACATCCTGGATCTGTAGTCTCATCTTATGCATCTTTCTATCTTCATTTCGAGCATCAATTTCACCAATTGCGACCACCAAACCGATAACATCTATATATAAGCATAAATACAAAAAAACAGATGAAATTAGTTTTTATTTGAAGGGTAGAAAAAAATAAGTTATTTAAAATATATAAATTGTTAGGTAAATAGATAATACTAACCCAATAAAATATTTTCTAGAACCGTGCCGGTGATAATGTGATTGAAGTCAATAAAAGCAAACTCATTAACTGATCCAGAAAAATCGAGAAACGGAGTGACAGTAGTCTCACGAGTGAATGTGAGCTTTTGCATTTGATCAATTAGTTGAAATTTTCCTTCATCCATCTTTGCCAAATTTGGATTTTTGATGAAAAAAGCTTCCCCTTCTTTAAGAACTTTTCTGAACTTGTAAATGTAAGCATTGGGGACATAACCTTGGATCTTGTTACCCTAAATTATGATGTATTAACATCAATATTCAAGTTTGGTTATTAAATTAAAAAGATAAATATAAATATAAATATGTAAATAATTAAAACTATATATATAATGTATCTATTCGTCCATTAGAATAGGTTGAAAGGAGAAAATTTCGTCTTTGTTATAGTAACATTCCAGTGTCCGTAATCTGATAACACGAAGCTTCATAGTCAACATGTCCTTCAAGACATCAAGATCACGTATGAGAGTAAAATCAGCAGCAGCCATGAATCTGTAAATAGGGTGATATTATAAATACATGACAAAAATAAGATTGAAATAAATTGTTCCCTGTTTTTCAAAATTAAAAATTCATCAAATGAGACTTAATGGTGAGTAAGTATTATGGTTTACAATGACATAAAGGGTAAAATTATCCAAGTCCTAATTAACATGTAATATACATAAATTGTCTTATTATTATATATTTATGTATTTAGGTAGATGACATGAATATTAAAAAAAGTAGTGACATAATTTGACATCTATGATTATCGATTCAGAAAAAAAGGAGGGTGGAAGTGAATATACATAAAATGACAGGATACTTTCAAAGTGAATATACATAAAATGGCAGTATACTTTCAAAGTGTGTTGCCCTTTAATATATACTACTTGATCTTTTAAAAGGTACAAACAACATGTAATATACATAAAATGGCAGTATACTTTCAAAGTATGTTGCCCTTTAATGTATATTACTTGATCTATGTTAGTCATATGTTGTGCCCTCTACGTGATTGGAAGACATCCGACCTGGGATACAACATATGCATTTCTAGATCTGACTTTTCTCTAAATGATTGAATACTAATCTAAAGTAAGGATTTCTTTGGAAGTTCTTGATTACCGGGGTATGTCGGTAAGTGGGAAACACGTTCTAGTGCATCTATAATTGAACCATTTAATAGGTTGTCTGTAGATATCGCTGCTGAATTTAAATGGACAACAATATCCTTGGTCGTCGTCAGCCAAATGGTTTATTTAGGAATATAGATCACAATGTCTTGTCGTTTATTTTCTATCCAATTTGTCAATATCCTTTGTGTTTAAGTGGACCACAATTCTGGTGATTGACCAGATCTAGACATGCATGCGTATGTTGATAAACGATATTGAATTGCCTGACAACTTTGATCCCAAAATAGTCTTAAATTTAGCTATTATTTTTGTTTTGGTTAAATTTGTTCATAGTTTTCCTCTATGCACAAATTTAGGGGGAGAACTAAATTAAAAAAAAAAAACCAAACAAAAAAAACCAAACAAAAAAAAACCAAACAAAAGTTAGAAAACCAAAAATCCAAAAATAGTGTTATTTCTGTTTTATTTCTTTTTCAGAAAATTAAAAAATCCAAAAATATTTTCTTTCAGTTTAATTTTTTTCAGAAAATATGAAAAATCCAAAAATATTGTGTGTTAATTTTTCTTTTACTTTTGTTTTAACTCAAATTTTCTGTCTTGAAAAGTGAATTCAGATGTAGATGAGACTCAAGATTTTCTAAGCTAAAGCTTCATCCGTGATTGTCGAAGAATATTCATCCGAAGGAACAAGAAATGAAGATTATTCTTTCAACATTCAATTTTTTTAACCCCAGAAGCAAGGTGAATCTGTACTTGAAGATTATGTGATAGATTGCATTGAAGCCTCCTTAATCAATTTGCTGCTACCTATGTACCTGCTGAAGTGATCCAAAAGATTTGTTCTCTGTTATTCTCTCTGAAGATTCTCAAGCTGAAAGCGCCAATTTTCAAGAATCTCTACATGAAGCCTCCACACTCAACGTGCGTTCAATGTCAAATTTGAAGAGAAGCCCAAATGTTCAAGATGAAGTCACTCACGTAGAAGATTCATTTGTTCATCTTGAAGCTGTGAAGAAATTGAAGATTAAAGCAAGAAGCCAAGCTCACAGAGTGAATACTGAGAAGAAATGCAAGCCATAATCCTAGGGGGAGTTTGTTAGGTCAAAAAGAAAAGAAAGCTATAAACCAAGGGGGAGATTGTTGGGTCTAAAATATGGTTTATACTTTACTTTTATAGGCAATTGTAGTTTTCGGTCTAGGACCGAAAACAACCTTGGGTTTACGGTTGGGTGGCGTTTACGGTTGTAAACGTGTTTACGGCTACTGTTCCCTATAAATAGTGTCAGTAGATGTCAGATGGAAAAAGAGTTTACGGTCAAGTGTGTGTGTAAATCAAGGTGTTCTAGAGAGAGAAAGTAGAGAGAAGAAGAGTGTGTGTGTGGATCTTATGTGTATAGAACATCATTCATATTATTCAATACACCATAAATTCATCAAGTTCTTCTTCTTCTTCTTCTCAATTCTATCTTGCATCATCCGCTTGATTGGGATTCCGCACCATCAAGTGGATCGGATTGATACTCAAGCTAAATTTTGGGACTTACAAACAATAACATATTTTTTTATCTGATTAAAAAAAGACAATAATATTATAATATGTATTGAATATTAAATAACCAAATGTTTTAACTACATAAATTATTTCTGAAAAAACAGAAGTTAGAAAGATTGATAGAAATTTCATAATTTTGTTTACCTCAATCGGTTCGAAAATACCAGCGATTGTTTTCAGCTCATGATTAAGCACAAAATCATCCTTTTCAGAACTTAGATTAGATTTCATATACGAGAAAGTACTGGATGAGTTTTCATGGGGACTATCTTGATTCAAATTGTTAATTAACATTATTGTTGCATCATTTATAACATACATTGCCATTTATTATTAACAAAAAAAACATAATGTAATATACCTTTTTTTGAAAACTTTTATCTCATCAATGTCAGTATTGATGATGAACTTTGATACATCATAATATGTATTAACATATCGGCGATCTATAAAAAAAACATAAAAAAATAAGTAAATAATCATTACAATATAATACAAAATTAAAAAAACATTATACCTTGCCAAACACAAATCTTTTCAAATTGAAGGATTATGACGATGCGGTGAATGTTTTGATTCTGTTGAATGTAATCCGAGAATGTGTAACAATAATCTCCCCATAGGTTAACATCTAATTGAGAACCACTAAAAAAAGATGGGAATTACAAATTACAAGTAATAATTTTTTTTGATATTGCAATCAAAATAGTTAATATACACAATAATGATATTATAGGTTATAAAAACAAACTTGACATCTTGGATCTGTAGTCTCATCTTATGCCTATTTCTATCTTCATTTCGAGCATCAATTTCACCAATTGCGACCACCAAACCGATAACATCTATATATAAGCATAAATACAAAAAAACTGATGAAATTAGTTTTTATGTGAATGGTAGAAAAAAATAAGTTATTTGAAATATATAAATTGTTAGGTAAATAGATAATACTAACCCAATGAAATATTTTCTGGAACCGTGTCGGCGATAATGTGATTGAAGTCAATAAAAGCAAACCCATTAACTGATCCAGAAAAATCGAGACACGGAGTGACAGTGGTCTCACGAGTGAAGGTGAGCTTTTGCATTTGATTAATTAGTTGAAATTTTCCTTCATCCATCTTTGCCAAATTTGGATTTTTGATGAAAAAAGCTTCCCCTTCTTTTAGAACTTTTCAAAACTTTTAAATGTAAGCATTGGGGACATAACCTTGGATCTTGTTACCCTAAATTATGATGTATTAACATCAATATTCAAGTTTGGTTATTAAATTAAAAAGATAAATATAAATATAAATATGTAAATAATTAAAACCATATATATAGTGTACCTATTCGTCCATTAGAATAAGTTGAATGGAGAAAATTTCGTCTTTGTTATAGTAACATTCCAGTGTTCGTAATCTGATAACACGAAGCTTCATAGTCAACATGTCCTTCAAGACATCAAGATCACGTATGAGAGTAAAATCAGCAGCAGCCATGTATCTGTAAAATAGGGTGATATTATAAATACATGACAAAAATAAAATTGAAATAAATTATTCCCTGTAACGACCCAAATTTTACAAAGAAATTTTTCATTTTTAATTAGTCAACCATTTTTCATAAAACATATAGATTCCAATAATTGTTTTCAAAACCATCAACATTACAACATTATTATTTTCAAAACATCAGAGTGTCCCCCAAACCAGATCGGAAAAGAGAGATAGAGTGCACGCCGCATCATCACGCCTTGCCTTTGCCCTTGGACTCCGAAGTACCTGAAACAAATTCCACAAACGGTAAGCTGAAAGCTTAGTGAGTCCTCCAGAGCATACCCCACACAAACCACATATCACATTAGCTATAAAGCTACCTCTACCACATATCACATGTCAATTAGCCATGAAGCCATCTCTACCATTAGCCACAAACGCTATCTCTACCATCATCCATAAAGGTTGTTTCTACCGTTAGCCCTAAGGCTATCTCTACCATTAGCCATAAGGACATCTCTACCGTTAGCCACAAAGGCTATCCCTACCACATATGATGCACACATGCATATCACACCTCTACATAACAAGTAAACCAACTATCACAAGATGTGCTGACCTTGGTGCCTTAGACCCATTGGTATGGTGAGAAAACTCACCTCTCAAAGGCTGAACTGGCAACTGGATTCAGGTATGTCCTGTGCTGCTCTTCCCAAACTGTTTATAATCAATGAGTAAATATCTCAGCATAGTCCCATAAATACCCCCAGGGTCAACCCTAGTCAAAGTCAAAGTCTATAGTCAAGGTCAACAGTCCATATTGACCTTGACTCGCCGAGTACAATCATTCACTCATCGGGTACCCTGCTTAACTCGTCGACTCATCGAGTTCGTTGGTGTTTACGGTCGTAAACCACCAACCGTACACCTTTGACCGTAAACCCTTGACCGTACACCCTTGGCCGTAAACCCTTGGCCGTAAACGAGAAAACCCTCTCGACTCGCCGAGTCACTTGCACGACTCGTCGAGACCCTCAAAGTTCATCATGATTTCGGTAGATCCATCATCTCCTATTGTAGATTTCACGTGAAGTTACAAACTTTACGTGCATGCAGGGCCTTTCATAACTGTAAACACCAAAACTAATCCTCTAACAAGGTTTTCATACATAGAGAGGGAATAAGCTTATAAAGCATGCAACTTTATGATATTTGGGACCTAGTGAGGTTCAAATCTAGAACCATACCCCTGTGATAGGTCCAGATCTAGGCTTGCTTCCATTTCCTCAAAGTTTGGTCATGAACTCCCAAATAGAATATAGGCTTAAGGTAAAAGATTAATACCTCAATTTGATGCCCAAGACGAACTAGATGCTAGATCCAGTGTTTTCCCTTTGATTCTTCTTCTCTAAACTTGGATTCCTTCCCAAATTCTCTAAAGTCAAGCTCTCAAATGCACACACTTTACACACTAGGGAGTTTGCGGCCGTACACAGTCTCTTATGATGCTAAGGGAGGCTACAAGAGCGTTTAATGAGGCTTATATAGGGGTAAACCCTAAAATTAGGGTTTTCATTAAACAGCGCTGACTCGTCGAGGCAGCCTTCTGACTCGCCGAGTCACTTCCGATTCGTGCCCCTGAAATACGACCCTACTCGATGAGTTGAGCTCCCAACTCGCTGAGTTCATGCATGAAACTTCTCCATTAGCAAGTTTCCAACCATTGCTCAAACCAGGTGTTAAAAATCTCGTCCACTTGAACTAGACTTCGTCCTCGAAGTCTGCTGACCCAAACAATTCTGGGTAATGCTCTCGCATCTCCTCTTCCGGCTCCTAAGTCCATTCGAAGCCCTTCCGATGTTGCCATTGCACCTTCACCAGTCTTACTTCCTTATTCCGAAGAGCCTTCGTCTTCCTATCCAAGATGGCTACGGTCTTCTCGATGTAGTTCAAGCTCTCATCCACCTGGATATCACCCAATGAGACAACCGCAGCTTCGTCTGTGACACACTTCCGAAGTTGCGACACATGGAACGTGTTGTGAATCTGGCTAAGCTCCTCTGGCAGATCCAAGCGATATGCTACTTTGCCCACCCGGGTCGTGATCCTGAACGGGCCTATATACCGAGGCCCCAGCTTGCCCCTCTTCTAAAACCTGATGATCCCTTTCCAGGGCGACACCTTCAGCAACACAAAATCCCCCACCTGAAACTCAAGATCTGATTGCCATCGGTCGACATAGCTTTTCTGACGGCTCTGTGCGACCCGCAATCGGTCGCGCACCTGATGAATCAACCCAGTAGTCTTGAGCACTACTTCGGTGCTTCCCATGACCCGGTGTCCAACCTTATCCCAACAAACTGGTGTCCTACACCTCCGACCATATAACATCTCAAACGGAGCTCGATCGATACTGACATGATAACTGTTATTGTACGAAAACTCTACCAGTGGGAGATACGTATCCCAACTCCCTCCAAAATCCAACACGCATGCCCGCATCATATCCTCCAGTGTCTGGATCGTTCTCTCACTCTGACCGTCGGTCTGGGGGTGGTACGCCGTGCTAAAATGTAGCTGAGTGCCCAACTCCTCGTGGAATTTCTTCCAGAACCTGGATGTGAACCGAACATCACGATCAAAGACTACCGACACAGGAACCCCATGTCTAGCCACTACCTCACTCACGTAAATATCCGCCAACTTCTCAGCGGATACACTTTCTGATATCAGAATGAAATGGGCACTCTTCGTTAGTCTATCCACAATCACCCATATGGCATCCACACCCCTCGATGTCCTTGGAAACTTCGTAATGAAGTCCATCGTGATCTCGTCCCACTTCCACATGGGAATGGGTAGCAGCTGGACCTTACCATGAGGCCGCTGATGCTCGGCCTTGACCTTCCTGCAGGTCAAGCACCGCTCTACAAACCATGCAATTTCCCGCTTCATGCATGGCCACCAATAACTCAGCCTCAAGTCCCTATACATTTTCGTAGCTCCTGGATGTATAGATAACTTGGACTTATGTGCTTCCGCTAATACCTTCTGTCTCACTCCCCCAGTCACTGGTACCCACACCCGACCACACTGCGTCAAGAGACCACGACTATCCTTAACAAACAGAGGATATTGTCCTCGGATCCTCTCTACCTTCCAATTCTCTTTCTTCACTCCCTCAACCTGAGCCTCTTTGATCATCTCCAACAATGGAGAGATCACTGTCATCCTCAAACATACATTCCCAATCAGGGAACCTGTCGTCTTACAGCTCAAAGCGTCGGCCACTACGTTGGCGTTCCCTGGGTGGTATAAAATCTCGCAATCATAGTCTTTTAGCACGTCCAACCACCTTCTTTGTCGCATGTTGAGGTTCTTTTGGTCCATCAAATACTTCAGGCTCTTGTGGTCAGTGTAAATGGTGCACCGCACTCCACACAAGTAATGCCTCCAAATCTTGAGGGCAAACACCACTGCCCCCAGTTCCAGATCGTGAGTAGGGTAATTTGCCTCATGAGGCTTCAGTTTCCGCGAGGCATATGCTATCACGTGCCCTCTTTGCATCAGTACCGCACCTAACCCTGAAATTGATGCGTCACAGTACACCACCAGATCATCTAATCCCTCTGGTAAAACAAGGATCGGAGCCTCGCACAATCTCCGCCTCAAGGTCTCGAAGGCCAACTGCTGATCTGTACCCCACCGAAACGTCACATTCTTCTTGGTTAGTCGTGTCAATGGCACAACAATCTTGGAGAAGTCCTGAATAAATCTCCGATAATAACCCGCTAAACCCAAGAAGCTACGAATCTCTGATGCATTCTTCGGTACTTCCCACCGCATCACAGCCTCAACCTTGGCTGGATCAACCGAAATACCCTCCTGATTGATGATATGCCCCAAGAATTGTACCTCTCGCAGCCAGAAATCACACTTGGAGAACTTGGCATACAACTTCTCCGCCCTTAGGGTCTCCAGCACCTCCCTTAAGTGTTGTTTGTGCTGCTCCCTGGTCTTAGAATAGACCAAGATATCATCAATGAAAACGATCACCGACCGATCCAGCATCGGTCTACACACCCTATTCATAAGGTCCATGAACGCTGCTGGGGCATTGGTGAGCCCAAACGGCATCACTACAAACTCATAATGCCCATACCGAGTCCTGAAAGCCGTCTTCGGTATATCCTCATCCCGAATCCTCATCTGATGGTATCCCGACCGAAGATCAATCTTGGAAAACCAAGACGCACCCTGCAGCTGATCGAACAAATCATCGATCCTTGGCAACGGATAACGGTTCTTCACCGTTAGCTTGTTTAGCTCTCTATAATCGATACACATCCTGTGGGATCCATCCTTCTTTTTCACGAAAAGGATTGGTGCTCCCCACGGGGAACTACTCGGACGAATGAACCCTCGGTCTAACAGCTCCTGAAGCTGTGTAGATAACTCTTGCATCTCAGGTGGTGCCAACCGATATGGTGCCTTTGCTATCGGAGCGGCACCCGACACCAAATCTATGCGAAATTTCACCTGCCTCTCCGGAGGCACCCCTGGTAACTCTTCGGGGGAAAACATCCCGAAAGTCCTGAACAACGAGCACACTGCCTACATCCTTCGCGATCTCTACCCTT